ACTTATTTGAAGATATTCAGTACTAATTGCAGTCTTCAATAGAGGCATTCACATGCTTATTATGTTTAAATGATAATGGCTTCTATAGGACTGAAGAGCATAAAAATACATATCTGCTCCACTCCCCAGGTGTTTGGAGTGGCAACAACATTCTCTGCTAATTGTCCCCCCCACAGCAGAAATGCCTTTCCTGGGACAGGACTGGAGGTCACCGGGCTTGTGCTGGACAAAGACAGAGCATGGCTGGAACAGGGTCATATACAATAAACAGGAGCTGGAGGATAACAACAGAGACATAGACTTAAAAGAGTAAGATCATAACTTAATCATTTCTTTCACCACAGTTGCCTTAAATGGAATCGTTACTCCAGCACAGTCTGGGTTAAACTTGTTCCCAGTTTGTCCAAAAATGCAACAGGTTACAAATATACTTATTAGGTAATGCTAACATTTTTATATCGCTAACATACTAACCCTTTTATATTGCATTTCAAAAGGACATCATGTAAACGTATAATAACTGATGGTTGGTATATCTAAATAATACATAGATCATGTCTCTTATCCTATTGGTTGCAAGATTAATGCATTACGGCACTCTATGTATTATTTTTCAATCTATGTGCGCTTTAAGTCATCTAAAGAATGAAGAGATGCACCTTAAAAATCGGAACTATGCCTGACGTCGTTTTCTTACTTCTCTTTGACATCTCTTATCTTTCATCGTATGATGGAGAATCATTTTCTGGTCAATCTAAGCTTTATATTCTCTCTGCACCACATGGATATGTCAGTGTACAGGGTAAAAGGATGGGGTACGTAATACAGTGGTTACATGGTCAATGTTTTAAAAGCATAGGTAACTAGGAAATCCTGATCGTTGTGTGTTGACTGGTGATTGTGGAATGTTTGTCTTTTCTGTGAGCTAGTTTGTGGCCTGGCTATAGACCAGTTTTCCTTCAGGATACTAAATGAAGTGAAGTTGAATTAGTCCAGACTGTGTGAGGGACCCATGTTTGTTTCATAGATCAGGATGAAAACAAGGATGTGGATATAGAAGTTGTAAATGCCTTGACCAGATTTCACCAAAGCCACAGCTTCTCAGGGTGAGAGAAGAAACATGCGGCCAGCTCTTCATTTGAGCCATAGCAGAGGGTCTTTGATGAGGCAATTTGCATCCCACAATTGCAGCTGTTGTTTCCAGATGGGCGTCATGGCAACAGACGGAGCTGGGCATAGGGTTGGTTTAAGAGAATCAAGAGAGTAACTTTGTATGAGACCGACTTGTTAGAGCAAATCCAAAACAGCTGAAGTGAGGAAGATGTTTTGAGTTGACCTTTAGTAAGTGTTTAGGTCAGGCTTGGTGTCCCCCAAGCCATTTAACCTGGTTGTAAAATAGTTGAACTGCAAACACCTCTGTCATTACAATTTTGGAATATGATTGACTGACTGACAAATTGGAAGCAACTTTTCATTCTAATGAGGTGATTAGAATGCAAAACATAAAGATAGGCTCACATAACCTTCCCCAGAACAGGTTAGGTGTGAGCAGCAGTTACGATGTCAACAAACCTTTCAAACTGTGAAAGCCCAAGGACAAACCAAGTTAGCGCCCGTTGTTTGCTTTTGTGATGCTTTCCCTCCCAAAGGAGGCGTTTTATGGGTTGAAAGACTTGAAAGACCACTGTTTGCTGAGAACAGCCAAACTAAAAACATGTTTGCTATTTCAGTCTCTCTGCTTTGTGTTGCATGTGTGAGCCTGTGTGAGCCTGTGTGAGCCTATGTGAGCCTGTGTGCAGTGCGGGTTGCCTCCCGGCAGAAGTGCTTGCCCTCTTATCTGCAGGAAACATGAGGGGGCTTGAAGCATTCCAACTGGTGATGAGTGGTCACATAAAAAACCAGTCTCCTCGTACATCATATATAAATGTGCATTGTGCTACTTTTTTACAGCAATGTATTGTCAACACAGTGCGTGGCTCAGCATGTCTGTGGCTCCCTTGCTTATTTGTATCAAATGGTTGTGCTGCATACTTCAGGATAAACAAGGTCGTTTCAAAATGAATATTTGATGAATAATTGCATTCAGATTTTATGATTGAATGTGCATATCTTTTTAGTAGCAGCTATGGGTTTACAGTACAACATAGCCAACAAAATGAAGTTGTCCCAGGCTAAAGTAGCCTTAGCTAGAATAGGACTCAGAATAGCAGATACCTTCTCCAAGGCCCTCAACAGCCCCCTTAAATTAAATCAAGCTTCACTAAATTACACACAATCATAGATATCCCTAACTCATCCTTCCATTAAGTTTTGTGGTAATCTGCCAGTAGACCTTCGAAAGATAACACAACCTTATTGGAGGAAGTGGAAACACTCTTTAAAGCCTCTTCCTCTGTAAAGCACCAGCCTGTGATATCTCCTCCAGCCCAGTCTCGCCTTTTCTCTTGATTAGTACCTCACAGTATCACACGACTCTGTGAGCAGGCTTTTCTAACAAAAGGTCATGGCTACAGACAAGAACCAGTGACATCATCCTCTTGTCATTGGCTGCTCTCCAAATGAAAACTCAGAATGGCCAGTGACATCGTGCAGCGAGCTGAGGTCAGCAGGCAGACTAGCACATGTGGTCCAGAAAGAGGAGCATTATGGTCTCCACTGACATGGTACGCAGTGT